TTTACCATCCATGAGCCATCCACATCTGAGAGCATAGCACCCAGTGCAATAGGTTAATACATCACGGAAGATGACTTCTTCTATCACACACATACACACACAAAAAAAAGGGTACTTGTAAATATAAACCAATTAAAATAATAAAAGCCGAAAATAATATTTTCCCGGCGGCTACAAAATCGGCATGCAGGGCTAGCCTGGAATCTGCCCGCGGTGTATTCAGAGCGCAAGCTCCGATCCAATGTCACACTGGTGGGACGCCCGGCAATGTTTATTTTTCCGGGTGTCTCATATATGGGACACCCGTTGTAAATGGGTTAAGGCTCATAGCAATTGATTTTTATGACCTGGAGCCACTTGTGCTAAATATACGCTTCCCCATAATGCCACGTCAGTGACCAAGATGAAAAATTTACCCATGATTCTTACACAGCCTCTCAGATAGATTGCTCACCAGACTAATTTTTTTGCACAACACTCAAAAGTAAACGGTAACAACAGTCAGCAAAGGTCAAGATCTAATGTTATTTGACAGACGGTTTCCGATCAAAATATGCCTTTGGCAAATTTAAGACATATTATGAACTGCAACAGAAATAGATCCATTTTTTGACATATTATGGTGGAAATAATGTGCCAAAGCTATGCATGAACATTGGGTGACAGCATTTCTCTGATGTGTGACATTCTTGCAAATAAACTGGACTGTTACCTGCTTGTCTTTTAACATCCCCGCTAACATTATTCATTGCCCAGTGTGTATGAACACTCATCAGAGGCTGCTCACTAAACCAAAAATAAGGTCAGCTTGAAGGAGTGCAGCATCATGACATGTAAGGTGAGTCGTGTGAGGGATGCAGTACTGGTGAACCTGTCTGTGTGCGTGACCTGCCTACTTGGGAAGAGCACCCCCTCACTGGGTGCCAGAAGCAGAGGGTTACGTGACAATAATAATAATAATAATAATAATAATAATAATAATAATAATAATAATAATAATAATAATAATAATAATAATAATAATAATAATAATAATAATAATAATAATAATAATAATAATAACAATAACAACAACAATAACACATAAAAAACATAAATAAAATAAATAAATAGATAATAATAACAATATTACTAATAATAATAATAATAAAATAATAAAATAATTAATTCATAAACAAAACTAAATGACTCACTAAATATATCCACTATTACACTGAGAACTACTATGCATCCCATAAAATTTAATTTTTGTTAATCTACATATAGTTTACTGTTAACACTTGATTTATTGCCTCTAAAGCCACAATGCACACTCCCTTTTCCAGCCATTCACCAAGCCCTACTAAAAATTTGCTTCAAACCTTTCTTATGACCCATTCTTTACCTTCAAACTCTTGGTTAAGAAGATAAAAAAAAAGCAAATTAGAGTTTTAAAATAACTTAGTTTCCGCATTATCCATGTAAATATGCATTCAAAATGGGCAGCTACTAGGTACACTTGCAAGGAGAATTGAAATGTACAGTAATGTAGATGATGGGGGACCAAAGAAGATGCACAAACTAACAACAAAACATTCCCAATGCCTCTCATCATAATGCAACTCTTTCCATCTGAGGTATTGTACATCACAAGATACTACATATATGTACCACCAGTTTAAGGGTCATGGTTCACTATCCCATAAATGGCAAGACCTCCACAGAAGAAATCAAGTAGGAGTTTGTAATCTCTGTCTGCATTTTTACCTGCTACACGGTTACAGTACATACCTTTATATAGGTACAGAGAGCATCCCCTTTGAAGTTTCCATCTCCGTCTCTGTACATCTTGACCTTGTACTTGTTTGACATAACATCTTTTAGAACCATGCCACATTTCTGCATTAGTTCTAAAAATTCTTCCTCTGTTGTCTCTTCTGGGAGATTGCTCACATACACCTTGTTGTTGCGGGCATCATCAATTTCAAACCAGGCTGCAAAGGAACTAGTGATGAAATCTAGTCTACTATGAAAATATTTTGAATGCTCACCTGTAATCTTCACAACTGCTTTGTATTCAAATATACAATTTTACATATGCACATACATGTAAAATTTCTCAAATGTAAACATGCACTTACAACCAGGAACAAAAACATAGGATCATAAATAAATAATAAATATATACATATATTACAAATGATTTTGTTTACTATAAAATAATAAGAAAACTAAAGAAGATTGTATAAAGTGAAGACTACAAATAAATTTCAGTATTTTCTGCATATATTTTTACCTCAAGATATTTTTATTCAAAAACTATCAAAAACATGAACGACTGTCTTACTTGGTTTCTTCTTTCCTTCCTTCAACTTTTCAGCCTTTTTCTTTTCTTCCTCTTCTGCTAATCTTGCAGCCTCCTTTTCCTCTTCATCATCAAATTTCAACGGATTCTCATTCTTTGTGCCATCCGGATTAAACCCATAAGACAGCTGATAAGTAGCCATAAAGTCTTCATCTAACTGAACAGAGAAGGAAAGAACAATCATATTAACCTTTATGTATTAGAATGAGAAGGTGAAGGAGAAGGAGAAGGAGAAGGAGAAAGGAGGTGAGAGGGGCAGAGAGGAGGAGAGAGGGGAGAGAGGAGGAGGGAGGAGGTGGGGGAGAAGGTAGGAGTGAAGGGTTAGGGAGGAGGGTGGAGATTGAGGTGAGCAGGAGGAGGAGGAGGAGGAGGAGGAGGAGGAGGAGGAGGAGGGAGGAGGGAGGGGAGGAGGAGAGGAGGAGGAGAGGAGGAGGAGGAGGAGGAGGAGGAGGAGGAGGAGGAGGAGGAGGCAGGAGGAGCGGAGGAGGAGGAGGAGGAGGAGGAGGAGGGGAGGAGAGGAGCAGAGGAAAAAGAAAAAGAGGGAGAGGAGAAGAAAAAGAGGAGGAGAAGGAGTAGGGGAAGAGGAAGGAGAAAGAAGAGAAGGGGAAGGTGGGGTAGGAGAATGAAGGAAAAGAGAGGAAGAAAAAATGCATAGGGATTGGGAAGGAAAGAAGGAGAGTAGGGGAAAATGAAGTTCATCTTGTGCGAAGAGAATGAAAAGAATAAGGTAAACAACAACATACAACAAACAATATCAACACATTAACAATTATAATAATAATAAATAATAATAATATATAATAATAATAATAATAATAATTAATTAATCTATATAATAATAATTAATAATTATCAAACAACAATGATACTAATGATAATAATGATGATCAACCAACAACAACAAATAACCAAAAAAAACAACAACCCAACAACAACAAACAAACAACAACAACAACAACACAATAATAATAATAATAATAATAATAATAATAATAATAATAATAATTATTAGTTATTAATCGATTATAATTATTATTAATTATTATTTATTATCATCATTATTATTATTATTATTATTTTTTTTTTTTTTTTATTTTATTATTTTTTATTATTTTTTTTTTTTTTTTTTTTATTTTTTTTTTTTATTTTTTTTTTTTTTTTTTTTATTTTTTTTTTTTTTTTTTAGTTTATTTATTATTTTTATTATCATTATTATATTATAATAAATAATTAATAATAATAATAATAATAATAATAATAATAATAATAATAATAATAATAATAATAATAATAATAATAATAATAATAATATTAATAATAATAAAAAAATAAATAAAATAATATAATAATAATAATAATAATAATAATAACAATAACAATAACATTATAAAAATAGTAATATTATAATAATAATGATCATATCAATAATACAAAAAATAATGATAATAATAATAACAATAATAATAACAACAACAACAACAACAACAACAACAATAATAATATAATAATACAACAACAACAACAATAATAAATAATAAATAATAATAATAATAATAATAATAATAATAATAATAATAATAATATAATAAATAATAATAAATAATAATAATAATAATATAAAATAATAATAACAACAACAATAATAATAATAATAAAAATAACATTAACAAAATTACTATCATTATTATCACTATTATTATTATTAAGGACAATAATAATATGAATAACATTAATCATAATAATAAGAAGAAAATAATAAGAAAAAAATACTAGAATAAGAATAAGAAACAAAGAAGAAAAGGATGACAAAGAAAAAAGAAAAAAAGACAAAGAAAAAGGAAAAGGGGAAGAAAAAAGAAAATAAGAAAAAGAAAATAATAGGAAAAGGAAAAAGAAAAGGAAAAAGAAATAAAAGAAAATAAGAAAATATAAAGAAAGATAAGAAAAAAAGAAGAAGAAAAAGAAAAAGATTAATAATAAAATGAGAGAAAGAGAAGTAATTGATGAAAAAATAGATAAATAAAATGTTATTGTATTTCAGATATAAAATGTCTTTTTTGCAATCCTATGCTAAATCATCTCTCTACAAAATTACCTTTGGGAACCATGCTCGTCTGTTTACATCCCACTCATACACCATGTTGTCGCTCGGGTCACGCTTGGTGTAGGTCACTCCATCATATTCAATGTTGGGATCATTCTTCACCCCTGGAGGAGCTGTACCATCCCCTTCCTCTTCATCAGAATCTTCAGATTCGGTATCAAACTCTTCTTCCTCGTCAATACGTGGCCTCTTCTTCTTGAGTTTCCCCTCATGTACCTGCCACTCATTGGTCTCTTTGTTCAACTTGTACACAATATCTGACGTGTTGTCTCTGTAAAAAGTATCGTCCCCCTGATAAAAATACCACTTAGAGTCCTTCTTATCACTGGCTGAATCAGGTTTTGCAGAGGCCTTCTCTGTCCATGGTTTCCATTCCTCTTCCTCCCAGTAAAATACATTGCCATGTGGGTCTCTACAAAGATGCATATCATCTGCATAATAGTATGTTCTTCCTTCATCATCCACGGTAACCTGCTGGTCTTGTTTCTCTTCAGAGGCATCCACTGCAACCCACTCACCCTTATTTGCTTCATACATGTACCTCTGCCCTGA